CACCAGTGTGTGAATGTGAGAGTGAATGAATAGTGGAATTGTAAAGCGCTTTGGGGGTCTTGAAAAGTCCATTAATATTATGTCAGGTTCATCTGAAATGGCTGACACGTTTTGTTCGACATCGAAGTCCCACAGAGATGTGGTGCTATCTGCATGGTAAAAATCTCTGGCTAGCTGGGGGTGACCATGTAAATTACAGAACAAACAGTCAATGTTAAAATATTTAAATGTCTGAATCTGAAATCTGAATGTGTCAGCTTCGTGTCTGATCAGTTTTATATCAAAGATGGATGAGGCCGTCCAAAAAGATCAGCCCTAGTAATACTTATGTACCATTTACAGATAACACATCATTATCCTGTCCACCTCCCCTCATTTCCACCCGTTGCAACACATGTATGTCTCTCCCTGAGCCTGGTTCTGCTGCAAGTTTCTTTCTCTTTCTGTGTTGCCGAGTTCTTGCCCACAGGTTTGATTGTTGGAGTTTTCTCTCTGTTATCGTAAGGTCTTTACTTTACAATATAAAGTGCCTTGAGGCAACACGTCTTGTGTTTTGACGTCATATAAATTCAGTAGAACTGAACTGAACTGAATTATCAGCGCAGTGCAGGCACATACAAAATGAGTCTTTTGGAGTTACACAGCTGATTTAAAAATAGGACTGTTTTGAAGAATATCTTCTGCATTACTGCCACCTACTGGATTGCTCAAAGTTGTAATGCCCAGATTAATGTAACATTCAATAAGCCAATGACGGCCCTGTTGACTATATCAGTCAACAGGGCCGTCATTGGCTTATTGAATGTTACAATGTTACATAAATCAACTGGTCTGGAGCAGTGAGTGTAGCTGGTGTAGCTGCATCAAAAATAACACGTAAAAACACTTTTTCATGACAAGATTGACTGCCTAATAGTTAAAGCTATTTAGATGTAGTGGAAAGACAGACAACTAATGGTGCAGAGGAATCTTTTAGTTCCTTGAAAGAAAGTTCCTGTGTCCAGTGCAAATACTACTATGGTGACCTATGTCGGAAGTGATTTTGAAAAAATCAGGAAGCTGTCGATTCGAAGTATCCCACGTCTGAAAAAGGCTGGACACAGTCCCATACACACCATTTCCACACTTCCTATTATTAGCTGAACAACAGAACGATGTGAGTGCTCCAGGCAAGTATCAAACACCTGCACCTTTTCCCTCCTTTGCAGTAAAACCTGACTCTTGCATACTTTCTGCTGAGCACTGCTTGTTTATCAAATTAACATCTGACTCCAAGGTCGGAGAACAATTTCTCATCTAGCTGCACTGCAGAGGCGGGAGAGCCAAACAGCCTCTCTGCTGATCAATGTCAACACATTTGAACTGTATATCCTGTATACAGCCTCAACAAAATAATACACTGCTGCAGTCAATCAAAGTCCAGGAACTTTGAGATGGCAGACAGTTTTACTGCAGCTTCGATGTCAAGGGAACAACCTTCATGACCTCAGGTGGCTTTATTACACCCAAAATCATGTAAGGCGATCGGTATTTACACATACTGACATCAAATACAAACATGTTGTTTACATGTTTGTATTTCAGCAATACGTTAATAATGAAAACACAAGACACTGGACAAATGTTACGGTAATATAAAAGATGCACACTATGTTGAGATGTAACCACCTCTTTGTAATTCGCACCATCTATCCCCCACTCACACATCTGCATTGAAATGTAGTAAACCTCAGAGATGGTCGAGCTCTGGCAAGATAATTACATGGAGTTAAACGACTGTTTTCCATCTACAGACTGGGATGTCTTTCAACAAGATGATGACATGGTAGAGGCGTTTACAGGGTATATTCACTTGTGTGCTGACACTGTGTGTCAGAAATATTCATTACTATCCAACTATATCCAAACGACAACCAGCACAACTCCTGAATTAAAACAAGGCATTAGAATAAGCTTTCAAAAGAATGGGAAATGGAGCTGAAAGCAGTTTAAAAAGACCTCAAAGGAAAATTACCAAAAAAGCATGAGCACAACATCACTGACCAATCAGAGAAGACTTCTCAAGAAAGAAGTCAGAAATACTGCATGTTGTAAATGAACTTAGGGCTGCTCGATTATGGCAAAAATGATAATCACGATTATTTTCACTGAAATTGAGATCTCGATTATTTGACGATATTTATTTAACAATAACAATGT